AACAAACAAGCAAACAAAAAAACAAAATCCTCAAAAAGTGCCTTCTAAAAGTTCTTCAAAAAGTTCCTTCTGAGAAATTGCCAAAAGTTCCTCCTAAAAATTCTCCAAAAGTTCCTTCTTCTAAAAGTTCTCTCCTCCTAAAAAGTCTCCAAAAGTGCCTTCTATCCCACAAGGCTTCTAGTTTTTATATTCACAGGAATATTTAACAACTCTCTGACAAAGGGGCATGCAAGCAGGAAGGCTGGTAGGGTCTTAAGAAAAGCAGGTGCCTCACGTCTCTCCCCTGGACAGGACTTGCAAACTTAAGTCTGGGGGGTGGGGGACGTGACTTGCAACTCGTGCTGTTAACTGTTTAAAGGGGTCTTCTCAGAATAATATCAAAGGAAAAAACTAAGGCTATGTAGTGTGAGATCCGAAGGCTACAGCTCTTACTGCTGATGCCCTGGTGAGAAGGAATTCCTTCCTCTGGGGCCTATTTGAGAATACAAAGCACCCAGTATATATATTTTCTATATACAGCCAAATTCGCAGCAACAAATATTCTGGAGTTGATACCTAGAATATTAATTGCTATGTCTGTAATAAATGATAGAGGTTCCCAGTATACAGGTTTTTGTTTTGTTTATCCCTTTGCTTAAATAGTGAAAAAATGTGAATGGCTTTAATATCATATAAAAACCCATAGATATGGCCCTATAAATGAAAGGAAGACAAAACAGATATATTATGTCATACATATGTTGTGCTGATAAATATTAAAAGACATCAGACTCTTATAAAAATATTTTAATGTAATAATAGAAAATCCTTTAAGTAATACAGAGTGATTATGTCTGGAATCCCAGCAACCAGAAGGCAGAGACAGAATATCATAAATTCTAGATCTGAGTTACATGGTAAGATCCTGTAAAAAGAAAAAATACGCCCCCACACACAAAAGAATATATTACATCAAGACTTAATATAAAGCTACAGCAATCAAGACAGCATGATACTGAAAGAACACATCGATGTATCAATAGAACACAACAAAGTCCACAAACAGACTCTGCAAATGTAATCAAATGACCTTTGAAAAGAGCCACAGAAACTCAGTAGGAAAATTCTTTTTCAGTACATGGCACAGAGCAAGCCAGCAAGCACAAAAACAATTGCCATACCAATCTTACACTTTTTACAAAATTAATTCAAAATTTATTACAGATGCACAAAATGCAAAATAGTACAATTTCTAAAAGGGAAAAAATGACCTTTAGGTTGGCCATATTTTGTGTTTTCCACTTTAGCCTCAGACAGACTTTTCAGACAAGGACAAAAAGCAACCACATTCTTCACCAAAATATCACAAGAACAATTTTTAGGCCACATACTAAAATTCTTCTCCTCTGAAACATCTTGATCCAGCCCCAGACACCACAAATCATTATCAGCACCATTGTCTTCCATGCTCCTACTAATATGGTCCATTAAGCAGTGCTTAAAACATTCCACTGTTTTCCTAACACAGATTTCCAAAGTTCAAGTTCCTCCAAACAAAATCATGGTCAGACCTATCACAGCAATATGCCAGTCTCTGGTACCAACTTCTGTCTTAGTTAGGGTTTCTATTGCTAAGAAGAGACACCATGACCACAGCAACTCTTATAAAGGAAAACTTTTAATTGGGTGGCTTACAGTTCAGAAGCTCAGTCTATTATCATCATGTTTGGGAGCATGGCAGTGTATAGGCAGACATGGTGCTGGCTACATCTTGATCAGAAGGCAACAGGGAGTAGACTGAGTGTCACACTGAGGGAAACTGGAGCAAAAATGACCTCAAAGCCCACCCCCACAATGACATAATTCCTCCAACAAGGCCACACCTACTTCAACAAAGACATACCTCCTAAAAGTGCCACTCGCTTGGGGGCTATCTTCTTTCAAACCACCATATACAGGTATTGATGAAAATTCAGAAATCAGGAATGAGAGACCCTATCAGTCACAGTCCCACCATTCCTATCCCACTTTAGAGTGTTTCTTTCTGACCTATGAAAAGTGGTGTTGACTTTACCCAAAACAGAGTTACTGTAAACATACTAGACAAATTGTTTTATGTTTTCTATGCCTCTTTCATATAATATTAGCAATAAGCATTTGTTATATAAACAGTGTTCAGGTGACAACACTCTTTATAGAGCCCATATCTCGAGGGCCATGGCATGACTCTCTTTACAGTTTGAGTTCATACCCTAGTGTGGAGTGATTCTAAGCTGATATTACAATGCCACATCATCTTCATCTATAAAATGGGAAGAAATAATAATGTAGACAGTATCTACTGTATTAGTTCCTTTTTTTATTGCTGTAATAAGACACCACGACCATAGTAACTTACAGAAGAAAAAGCTTATGTTCATGGTTGCAGAAGGTTTGAGTTCATAGTAAAGGCATGGGAGCAAAAGCAGGAAGGCGAGTGTTCATATCTTGAAGAGCAAACAGGAAGCAGAGAGAAAAAAAC